TCAAGGGCTGCGGTATACTCGGTTCTTTGGCCTCCCTTGGGAGGTGGCGTTCAACATCCGTCTCCAGCCCTTGCACGAGCGGGTCGTAGAGCGCAGAGGACGCAAATTTAGGGAGTCGGAAAGTGAAGACCTGCTTACCACCTTGATAGGTGAGCGCTGGGTACCCTTGCTCCATTGCCCGCCACTCTTCCCCATCGACAAACACCTCGTCCGAGAGTTCAAGGGTGATGTCGTTGCCGCGCTGGGCGTTGGTGGCGAGCGTGTAGCGCTTCTCGCCCGCGGGCAGGGTGCCATTGACCTCGCTCGAGCCTTTGATTTCGATCTCGAGCTCGAGCCCAGCGCCGGTCTTGCCCATGCAAGCCTTTCCCATGTCCGTCGATTGGTCGTTCTCGCCGCTGCAAAAGGGCCAGTTGAGCACGGAGACGGAAAACTTGACCGTGCCGCCAACCACTGCCCACGACTCGTTGTCAGTTGGTGTGATGATGCCGTCGTGCTCAAACACGAGCACATCAACCTGGAGCACGCCGGCGTCGCCGCAAGGGCGGGACTCGAGCCGGCGCCGCTGGGGGTTGGGGCTGCTGCTTGGGCACGTGAGGTCGCACTGGTTCTCGTCAAACAAGGTCACGTTGAAGACAGTCTGCCAGGCAGGCACGCCGTAGGCGTAGGTGCGGGTGGGCGCATACACGTCAAAGTCGGTGCTGGCAAACTGCTCGCGCGAGTGCTTGCAGTTGTTTGGTCCAGATTTCCCGATCTGCGTGCCAGATGCATCGAGCTCGTAGATGCTGTCCATCGTCACGGTGATGCTATTGTCGCCGTTGGAGAGTGTGAGCTTGCCCGACTGACCGAGCACGTCGACAGTCACGCCGCCCGCAGCGAGTGCGCCGGGCGGCGGGGCGGGCGGCATCGGCGGATACGCGGGCGGCGACGCTGTGGGGCTGGCGGTAGGCGAAGCCGTCGGCGACGCTGTGGGGCTGGCGGTAGGCGAAGCCGTCGGCGACGCTGTGGCAGCGAGCGCAAGAAGGTGAGCGAGCATTGCGGGCTGAGGTGTGTATGGGCGTCTTGTGTTGATGGCCAGACCCGCTCTCCTTTGTTGCATGGGACGTGTCCCTATAGCGAGCTGATGCCGTGTCTCGGATAAACCTGATCGACCAGCTCCAATCCTTCATGAGCGCGATCGGATTTTAGCCGATCCCCTCTCTCTTCCGCTCGCGCCCAAAATAAAAGATTCCCGTAACCCCGGACGACGGCAGGCGAGACGAGGAGGACGGAGGCGAGGGCAGAGACAGCGCCGCAGTCGACGGAGGCGACAACGATGGAGAAGGGGAGGGAACGAAAACGCGCACAGAGGATGAGGATATAAACTGGGACGACGCAGTGGGGGGGATAGACGAGGGAATCGAGGGGCCGGAGGGCTTTCGCGACAGCGACGATGCCGTCGTCTTCAGACGCCGTCCTCAGACGCACAAAAGCTGACGCCAGCTTGTGCGCGTCGCCAGTGCCTTCCCCTCTCTCTCGTCGAACCCACCACCGTCCCCTTTCTCCTCCTATCTCGTATCTGTCATAGTGTGTGCCTGCTAGTGCCTGCTGGGGGGGGAGCAAACGGCTTCAGATGAAGCTGCCCCCAGCAGGCGTTGTGACGGATATCAAAAAGTCTTCCCTACAAAGAGGCCAACGGACCCGAGATAAGAAAAAGAAATTGGGCCGCGCAGCCGACGCCGACGACGAGTTCGCCAGCCTGATTATGTTGGCGGGGCCGCTCGGGCCGAAGTGGAAGCTTGCATCCTGCTCGGGCGCAAAGTCTTGCGACGCCAGCGCCGGCTCCGGCGCCAGTGCAGGCGCTAGCGGCAGAGCGGGAGGATCTGCCGGCGGCGGCAAGCCCGCGTCGGCGGCTGGTTGAACGGGTCGGGGTTCAGATGGATAGATATTCGTGATCACACAGGCGGGAGCGGGCTCATTTCAGTGTGGCGTTTGTAAACCGGCCAAACAACGAATTTGCACATGTACATGTTGTGCATGCACAACATGTGTCGTGTGCGCGTGCCTTTTAACAAGATGGCGATCTCCCATGCGGACTAGGACGCGCTACGCGCCACACGCCACACAGACATGACGGACCTGACGGTTGATTGTTCGCGTTGACGCTCCGACGAAGGGAGGGTGGGAGGCCACCGCTCACGGCTGTGCACAGCTGCTGCCGATCTCTGACCTTCTAACATCTACCCTACACGCTCCATGCTTCATGCTCCATGCTCCCTCGTGTCACAAGCCGCGGCAGTCTCACGCTGACTGCACACCGACGCCCGTCCAGTGGCGGAATGGCAGGTCGAATATGCGCGCCCGAGCGTCCTTGGCTGGGCTCGGTATCGGCACTGGAGACGCTGAACGCCTCTTGCGGCTCATCCTCTCCTGATCGACAGGCGTGCTGAGCCTGTCGCTCACGGGGCACCAGGAGAGGGTGTTGAAGGCGTCCAGCCGGTGCTCTTGGCTGCAGTAAGCGCGGTCGCAGAGCATGAAGACGGCTCTGCCCTTGTGGATCTCGCCCTGGCAGCGTGCGCAGTAGAGGCGGTTCATGGCGACTGTGGTGGCGTCGGCGGCGGCTCGAAACGCGTCGGCCGGCGTCTCCTGTGATCGTCGGCGGCGTCGGCGGCTCGGCGACGTCGGCGAAACACCAAGGGCAAGGAGAGGGTGGCGGCTCGACGACCAATTTTTCGAATAAAAAAACGCAGATCAAAACCCGTTCCCAGGGCTTGGGCTATCTAGCCCGTAATCCGATCCCGATCATCTGGCTCGCTGGGTGCGCTTCTTAGCTCCCCGGCCCTGGATGTGCGGTTACTGACTGCACTCCAAGTGCTCCAAGTGCTGCCTGCCGAGT